TGCTGTTGCAAATGACAGAATTTCCTTCTTTTTAAACGATAAATACCATTCCATCTTCTTTATCCACAACATCTTCTTTATCTATTCATCTGTCAGTGGATACTTAGGTTGGTTCCATGTCTTAGCGATGGGAATAACACTGCAGTGAATATGGGGGTGCAAATATCTCTTTAAAGATGCTGAAATAAATCTCATATTTTAAAGGCTGGTCTGTCTCTGTAATTTCTGAGGTAATATTTAAAATTCTTCTTTACATAAATTATCGCAAACCATAAATTGAGGTCACTAATTGTGAAATTGGTGATTATACAGATAAGTGGCAGTGCCAGAATTTTACCATGATCGACTTTCCTCTCTTCATAATCTAATTGGCATCACTTAGATTCTCACTTCACAGGTGAAATGCCAAAATTGGGAGGAGGGTAATTGTCTACTGTACTTTCTAACCATGAGTTATGGAAATAACAACTACTTATTTGCTCTTTATTACTGTAACTTTCTGTGAGAACTTGTTATTTATCACCTACCACAATTTAGACTGAGGAACCAAACCAAACCACGCACCCGCTGACTCACATTGTTTTGTGATCATACATTGGTCCAAGATTAGGTTGCAGCTTTATTAAGAATCCCTGTGACCTTTTGAAGAATTGCTCCATTTTTGTAAAGCAGGCAAAGCCTTTTACATCTATGAGAGATGCTAAAATTATGATTGATTGTTATGCTTTTAAGCTCGCCCATCTTTTTTTCGAACTTTTAACTGGAAAACATATTGACTTTTTTTGGTGGAGATGTAGGAACATTCATATTTATTTAGCTGGAGAGGGAAGATTATTATTTTGAAATTTCAAAGCCATTTCTTAGTCAAAGGGTAATGGAATTTTAGCACTCAGAGGTATTTCCAGATAGCTTTGTGGTGATGTGTAAAGAGCAGAGGACTGAAGTCTAAAAACCTGAGGTGGAGTTCCCACTTTCTGCTTCTCCAGTATATGACCGAACTGAAATTACATAAATTCTTTAAACTGTATTTTCTCATCTGTGAAAGAAAGAGAATCCATGTCCTGTGAATTTTTATTTCTTTATTGTAAGGATCAAATGACACCATGCACACCATGTATATTGGTCACTGTGAGCTGCTGCAATGCTTCATATTTTTTTTTTTTTTTTACGAAGGAGAAAACAAATTTTTGGTTTTGTAAGTGATTTACCTAACTTTACCAGCTAATCGGTGGTAGAACAGACTCTCCTAAACCAGCCCAATAGTCTTGCACTGGAGTTTAAATTTTAAAATCTGCTCGTCTGCTTAGCTGGATACCAGAGAACTTACCAAAATTCTAAAGTTATACCATTTTCCATAAAGACACAAACTTTTGATTCTTAGTAATGTCTTTTCCTGGGTGAGAGGACACAATTGGCTTATTTTGACTTGTCTTGTTCAGCCTGCTGTAGTGGGATAAGCACCTAAAGCTGATTCTGTTTTCTACTATTTTGCTGTGATAATCTCCCAGACTTAGAGTGGTATTTCTTTGCCTTAAATCTGCTGCTTATCATAACTTCAGAAGCTTCTTCTATGGGCCTTTTCTATTACTATTAATTTGGAGCCAGGCATCACAGAAATGGTTTTTATTTTTGTTTCTTATTTAATAAACTACAATGAGTTCCCCACTCCTTTATTTTTGCCAAATGACTGTGAAATTCTTGATTGCTTTGTTTCTTTTTATAGCTATTTCTACAAAGTATCAAAAACAGCTGGAGGATGACTTTCTGACTTAGTCTAAGGTCAGCTGGAACAAAGCCCTCCAATTCTCTTCTCAAGATAAAGAATAGGAAGCTGAGTGCTTCATGTTTAATAGAATCATTTAGGTTCATTACGGAAAAAGGTCCAGGATAAGGAAATTGAATATTCAGATTTAAGATACAATTAATTGAAAGCTACTATACTGTTCACTTAAGCAGATGTGGAAAACAGGTCATGCGCTGTTCCAACAGTGAAGAGTCATGTCCAGTGAGAGAGAAGAAAGAGAAAAATTTGTGAAAGCTTTACAATCCCTTCACAGTGTTTTTAGGGACAGGAATGATGTAAATTAGAAAGTGTAGCAGCTAGTAAAACAATAAGAATGCTTCAGAACTTGTAGAAAAGGTGACCAATTTTTTTGTTCAAAATGTATTTTCCCATGGATTTGTTTTCATTAATAAGGGGGAGACTTACTTTGATATCTGCATATGATAAGGAAGAAAATCTTTAGTTTTTTAAATAAACTTTTAATTGTTAAATAGCTTTAGATTAACAACAACAAAAAGAATGGCAGTGATAGTATGGAAAGTTCTTGCTGCCCCATACTAGTTTTCCCTATTCTAACATCTTATGTCAGTATGGTGTATTTTTCACAATTGATGAGCCAGTGTTCATATACTAGTGTCAACTAAAGTCCATACTTCATTCATATTTCTTTAGTTCTTTAATTTTTTAAAGATTTATTTATTTATGCATACAAGAACTGGGGTACAGGCCAGAGGTGTGGGGGTGAGAGGATTCACCAGAGACAGAGTGGGGAGCAGAACAGGTGGATTGACTGAAATACACTGCTGAGGGGAGCAGCGGCTGCACCATGTGGGTAGCTCCCTGGCTGGGGATTGAACTTGTGCTGCAGTGGCTGCGGATAGCTTCATAGGTTGTGTCTTAACCCCTTGCACCACCAGGGAGGCCCTAGTTTTTTTTTCTAATAACCCTTTTCCCAGATCCCAGCCAAGATCCCACATAAGGTTCAGGTATTACACACCTCCAGGCTGTGCTAGTTTCTCAGACATTCCTTGTTGTTGATGACCTTGACACAGTTGAGGAATATTGGTCCTGTGCTTTGTGGAATGTTGCTCAACTGGGATTTGTCTGATGTTTTTCTCCTGAATATGTGAGAGGGCAGACTGAGGGGAACCTGGGACGCTCAAGACCTGTACATTGTAAAAGGATTCTGCCATCCATTGCATAAAGACAAAACATACGCTAAGTGTGTGAGATCTTTAGTAGAACGATTGTGCCTAGAGAGGGAAGAAGAGATGGGATAATAGTTTCCCAATGCAACATCCCAAAGTCACCTGTCCCTTATGGGTTAATGCCCAAACAGTTGGCTCAAAGGAGGCTGCTGAGACCTCAAATCTTGCCATAAGTCTAAGGCACCTTCTGGTGGAGAACCATCAAAATGGGGCAAAAAGGGCCAGGCAAGCCTGGGACTAAAGGAACAAAATTCAAGTACAAATCAAGATAAAGACTGCCATTGTCCACTCCCCACGTGTCTCTCGCTCATGTTTCTCTCACGTGTCTCTCCCAAGTGTGTCTACATGTCTCAGGTGCACGTGTCTCCTTCCAGTCTCCCAAGTTCCTGGTGCAAGTCCACAGCCGAGAAGCAAGTGGGACCTTCTCCACGTGTCTCTCTTTCTCTCTCCAAGTACCTCCCCCTTTGTCTCCTCTGTGTCTCAAGCTCCTCCTCGCCACTCAGCTCTGCCCCTCATTAGGGGAGGCGGGGAACACAGAACCTCTTTTGTTTACGGAGATGCCCCTGTTACAAAGAGACTAGGGTTACCAATCCTTGGCAAAGGAGGTAAAGTGCCATTTTCATTTCTCCACTGCACAATGACTCCCCCCCTTTCCACACTGCACTCTTTGTGAAGCACTGCATCCCTGTGCAACCCACACGCATGGGGTGGGGAAGAAGAAAGTTTTAATTTTAATCGTAATAAAAAATTACTGTTGTTGGCAAACATTCGAATTTTTTTTTAAAGATTATTTATTTATACAAGCACTGGGTACAGTCAGAAGCATGGGAGGGTGAGAGAATTCACCAGAGCCAGAGCAGGGAGCAGAACAGGCAGAAGGACCGAAGTACACGGCTGAGGGGAGCAGCGGGTGGCAGGAGAGGTCTGCGCGCCATGTGGGACCCTTGCTGGTGGCCAGGGATCGAACCGGCGCTGCAGAGGCTGCGGGCAGTTTTGCAGCCCAGCGTTCTACCGCTGCGCCACCAGGGGAGGCCCAACATTTGAATTTTTAAGTCATCAGAGCCACACGTGCACCTAGCAGGCTCACTTGGCCAGTCAACTTAGTGATGTGTTTCGTAGTTAACACCTTTTAGGCCCATTGACTGGCCATATTGTGTAGATAAGAGCAGGCTCCTTGTTTGGGGCAGTTTGCCTGTGAGAGATGGTCAGAATTACAGGCTCTGAAAATTCAATTTACCACTGCTGCCATTTCTCTGATGTATTTCAGGTGCTACCTGCACTTGAGTCAAGTTGGAAGAGTGATTCTCACATTTAGGGGAGCATCTTGGGAAGTCTTGTGAAAACATCAGTGCAGGGCTCCATCCCAAAGTTTCTGACTCAGTAGGTCAGCGTGGGGCCTGACATTTACATTTTAGTAAGTTCTCAGGTGACCCGCGTGCTGGGAAGCGTGCTTTGAGAATCACTGGGGTAGACTGTACAGTCCAAACACCTGAACCACATCACATTAATCCTTCGCTGAGCCGTCGCCACAAAATTACAGCTTATTGTCAGGCCTTTGTATTTCACTTAAGGCTGCTACAAGAAGCCTCTCTGTTATCTGTCTACTTTGGGCTTTTCTGTGAGGCTTTTCTGCAGACACTGCCATTTGACACAGCTTCCTCTTTAGAGTGTCCCATTTGAATTCCTCCACCTGGAAAAGCTAAAACTCACAGAGGATCTGTTTTTTGGGAAAGTGGGAGGTGTAATATGTTGCTCTGGCCTTGGGAAGGCTGTAGTCTAGATTAACATGACTGTTTTGACTCCTCTTGTTCCTGTGTTTCTTTATTCCTTCATGCTATGGCCCCTGCTCCATTTTATTAAATTATTTTTGTGTCTGTACTAAACATAAGCACCATATAATTCCTTTTGGGAATTAGCAATATCCATGGGCACATATTAGCATTATTAGCACTTTTTTAACCTTTGCGTCCCGCCTCTCAATTCAGATGTTTTTTATTCCCATTTTACAGATGAGAAAATGAAGAATCAGGCTTATCATCTTCCTAAAGGTCACCCAACCACAAAGTGGTGGACTTGAGGTTGAACCCCAAGTCTCTCCCTCTCATCTGGTGCTTCACAGTTTTCTAGAACTTAAGAAGGGGCCGTGTGTTGTGGTAGAAAGAATCTGCATGGCCATTTGCTGGTTTCATCACTGGTACCTTCCTGGCTCAGCTTCCTCATTCCTGTGATGGGGACTACAATGCCTGCACAGAGTTGGCCTAAGTATTGAAGAACATCATGGTAAGTACTCAATTAATATGTTCTTTCTTTCAAAGCCACTGCCCACATGAAGGTATGAATTTTTATTTCATTTCTTTGTGTAACCAATGGCAGCTGAGTAAATAAGAGTATTAAGAGTATTCTACTTATGAAGAAATAAATTAGGGATGAAGAAAATATTGCTGGCTTAATATTAGCATGAAGTTTACATCTAAAGCTCTCTTGAGTTCGCTGTTACTATATGCAGATTTTTTTTTTAAATGAAAGCTTACGAAGGGGTTCTAGCAACTTAGAAAAACTATGCAACTTGAATATAGCATTGTTATTTTATTCTTGGATAAAATAATTCCAGTGGATGAGGAACATAAATTGAGTTTGAGTTCCTAAGCTGCATGGGTCAGAGAACTTAGTACAATTCAACCAGACTGTGAAGTCTTTTATTTGCTACCAGTTCTTGAATTTGTACTGTCAAACCCTCAATTATGTGGCTGGTGTTTTTATGTGAAATTTTGTCTGTGGAATTCTTTGTCTTTACCTTAATTTGTTTTTCACAGAAACTGTATAGCAGATATGTTAAATGTCATCAACTTAAGAAGTGTGCTTTGCTCATGATCTCATTGAGCCACAAACCATCCCTTCCTTTCCTTATATTGATTTGCACTTTGCCCTTTCTTTATCTATTATTACTTGGCTTGTGTTCTAGCTTCATTTTTTTTTTTTTTGGAAATATGGTCTGTTTCTGAAATAAGATTAGTTTCAAGATGTGAGGATTTTCTCCTCACTGGTCCTTGGCATCAGCCTGCGCAGTGAACTGATTTTAGGAGACGTCAAAGAGGGGCTGGAAGGAGAATGAGTCAGTGAAACCCAGTACCTCTGAATCACATCTGTCCTGCATGAGATAAATTCCCCTTAACACAATGCGGAAGCTAATGTCTAGGAAATAAGATCTTATAAGACTGTGATAATTTGCTATTTATATTAGTAATAATTCAAGTGAGAAAAATGAGGTCCAAGTTGAAATAAAACTTTTAAAAGGTGTGTGTCACCAGATTGTCTACATGTCTGCTCTCTTCTGTTAGTATAAGCAATCCAAAATTGACTAACGATCTTCTGTGTCCCTCTGCGTTTGTAAATCGGATATTTGCATTCATCATTCCTTATCATTCCTTCTTGATTGGGAGAGCTGGCTCATTTCAATGCTAAAAATTCCCAGAGATTAAAAATACTGTCATTTTTTTTTTTGCTTAGGTTCTCATCTGAAAACATTTCTTGAAGTTTTGATAGCTGCAAAGTAACTCTTGACTTTGTACAGAGCATAAACTGTCTCATGGGACAAATAACTAGCTTTGATCTCCTTGAGTAAGTTATTCAAGTTCTGTGTGCACTTCCACATATGTAAAATATATACAGAATAGTACATATTTGACAATACTGTGGTAAGGGTTATGTAAAATAACACACACAGAGCCTGGATGATGTTAGGGACAGATGAGGTACCCAAAAATGTTCGTTTCCATTAGTAATAATGTGTATTAAATGCTACTGATTATCTATGAAAATGCCTCAGGGAAGAATGTCTTGCGGAATTTCAACCTGCAGGAAACAGGAGAATACAAACGCTCTTAGAAGAGTCAAACATCTCACCCCTTACCATCATTCAGAAATGACAAATGCAGTTAAATGATAAACTGATAGGTATGTTTCCCTTCAGAGAAATTATACTATCTAGAGGATTTCTAATAGCCTGAAGTCCAATTGACACTCTATGACTAATATTTAATATAAATAATAGACAACAAAATTAATAGCTGGCATTTTAAGTGCCGCAGCTTGTCACCAAATACTGTAGCTCCCTAAACCACTAGCTGCCACCTCATTGAATTGGTCCAACACTACTGTCCTCTACCCAGTGCTGCTGAAATGTTCTCTAATACCCGCAGACAATTCTCTGGCCTATTTTTGGTGCTCCATTTAACTTTTTGCCAAATCTGAATTACTGGGGTTTGAACTATTCAAATGCTACCACATGCTAGCTTTCAGATTGATTCTAATTGCATTAATTGATAGTAATTTCCCCATCCAAAAATTTGGGGGAGTAATTTAGTCTTGGTAAGACTTCTGAAGCCACTAAGGTGCCACCACCTGAAGACTTAGTGCACTACAGTGACATAAAAAAGTGCATACTAGAACTCTGAATTTTACAAAGAGGTTTATTTATAAACTGTATCTTTTGTGACAACAGTCCTCTGAAACTGTTGGCAAATAATACTCCAGTGGACAGATACAAAATGTGAGAAAACAGCAAAGAAAAAGGCTTGTATAGAGTGCCAAAACTTCTAGACATCCTGCAGACCCACTGTCCTCTCATTTATCTTGTTGCCCTACTACTCACTAAATTAACATGTTCCCGGGGGACAACTGTGGGATGAACAGTCTGCCAGGCATCGTGTGTCAGGGGCAAAGGATAGATAAGACAGGAAAAATAGTGTTCTTGCTCTTAAAGAAGAGACATAACTTTGAGACATAACTTGAGACATCGCCCCCAAATAAGTGTGCAACAGTAAAGAGTATTAGCAAAGTGAAAGGTGGAGTTTTTTTCATACGTGGTTGGAAAGTGTGTTAGGTGGTGCAACTTGTTTGTACGCCAGTTTTGCAATGTGTGTGTTTTCTTTCACGTTATTGAAGTAACATTACATTGTAATGTAAGTTTCAAGTGTGCTTTGTTAAAAGTCAGTATGTGTAGGGCCTCCCCTGGTGGCACAGTGGTTGAGTTCTGGGCTGCAAAGCTGCCCGCAGCCTCTGCAGCGCCAGTTCGTTCCCTGGCCGCCAGCGAGGGTCCCACATGGCGCGCAGACCTCTCCTGCCGTGCCTGCTGCACCCCTCAGCAGTGTACTTCGTCAGTCTGCCTGTTCTGCTCCCTGCTCTGTCTTTGGTGAATTCTCTCACCCTTCCGTGCTTCTGACTGTACCCAGTGCTTGTATAAATAAATAAATTAATTAAAAAAAAGAGTCAGTATGTGTATATACTACATTATGTTTACCTCTAAGAGTCCCAATTCTAACTTTCACCATACAATTGTCCACTTTCACCTAATTTACTCACCCCCTTCCCTTCTAGAAATCACTAATTGGTCATATTGTCTGCAAGTTTACACAAAATATATCTTAAAAGTACATCATGTTTATCCCAGCGTGGCCATTGTTCTGTGGGCGTATTTGCACACACACACCCCAAGATTTATGTGAAAGGGTGTTCTTTGTTGTATTATATGTGATATAAACATAGAAACATCCTGAATGTTCATCCATGGGGTACTGGTTAAACAAATCATGGTTCCGGCAAGGGATGGAACATTATACTAAAAAGAACAAGACAGCACTATAAGCATTGGCTTTAAAGATATAATTCATAAGTGAGAACGGGTTGGAGAACAGATAAATATCTTGGAGATACATACACATGTGAGCCATATACATTAATATAGAGAGAATTCTTATGGAGGGATAAGCTCAAATTTTAGTGCTAATTTTTAGCAATATCTTAGTAAAGTGAAAATAAAAGGACAAAGAGGTGGAACCTCTTATTTAGACCCTTTACTCTTGTCTTCGTAACTATATTCCTTTGGTGACTAGAAATATCAAAACTAATGAATATATGCTAAGTGTAAAAAATAATAATGAGAAGCAGATGGCATGGACAAAGAAATGTTACTAATAATGATGATAATAACTGAAATATCCAAGGTGCTTACCCTGTCAGAATAGGGCACTTGGCATATGATCTCATTTAGTTTCTCAGGCCTGCAAATACTGATTTAAAGCTCGGGATCCAGGGCATTGCAAAGTTTAAATAACTTGCCCAGCATCACACAGCCAACTAAGTACATGGCAGAGCCTGAGTTCCAGATGCCACAGTCTGTGCTGTTAGCTCCTAAGGTATGCCTCTGTTTTGTCTTCTACAGCATCCTCTATTCCTGTGATGCCTGTTTGGGAACCTGGATTCTCCTGGAGTATAATAACCATAATTGTGTAATGAGGCTGGAAAAGGAGCAGGAAGGGGGCGGGGGCTGACTTTCAGCATTGCTTTGGAGAAGAAAAGAAGATTTCATGTCTATGTTTTCTGTCTGAAACCATCAACTCTGAGGCGTTTGAATATCAGAACATTGACATTTGTAGCAGTTTTTTGTTAGTCTTTCAACTTTCATAGGATTGATCATTTTCCTACACATACACGCTCATCATAGATGAAGACAGCAGCTTGGGGTAGTTCGGGAAACAGGGGTGGAGGGTGAGCAACAGCATAACCTTGGGTAGGTGTGTGTTGATCCCATCTGGCCACTGTGGCATGATCCATTGCAGCTTGACACAGATGAGTTAGGGTGGGAAGGTAGTTCTTTAGCCTCTCCACTGATTTTGTAACTATAGTCTGGGATACTGCAGTGGAGAGATAGTATCCCTGGGCTGCCAGCCACTTTTCATTGCAGAGTGCCCTCTGCTGAAGAAGCAGGGATGCTTGCTGAGAATTTTGCAGAGGAATAGCACTATGTATTTTTTCTGGTTGTTTCTGTGTTATTTTCATTTATATTCAAAAGTAACCAAGCCCATTTACCTGTGTGTAGCTCAAACCCCAAAACAAAGCAAATACAACTATGAAATCACCTTGCTGTTTCTCTGTTTTTACCCTTGAAAAAGCATTTACACTTCTGCTTGTCACAATCAAAAGCCCATCAAAATTTTCACTTTCTGTGATGTTCCATCAAGTACACGGATGCTTCTAGCTTTTCTTCCTCTTTTCTCACATTGGCTCTGAAACCTGCTTTACTTTGCAAGTATTTATAAGTTTTGTAAGTTTTTACCAGTAAATGTATTTTGCTTATAGGTAAGCAAATCCTTTCGAGTAGGAATGATACATTTCAGTTTAATTTATTCTGTGTCCAGATTTTCATACAAAACCACTACAGGTGTCCTTTAATCTTTTGCATGATCTTTATGAATTATGATGTGGATGGTGAATCT